CCACTGTGCCACCAGGGCGTCCCGAAATGGAGAACTTCTGAAACTGCTCCCAACCCAGCCAAACAATGAATCGGTAACAATAATACCGCATCTCAGAAGGGAACGGGGAGATTAGTGCCCTGTAAGGATGTCAGGATTCAGAGGTAATTAACAGTCCCTGTTTAAGCTGTTTAATACACCAGGAATCCTGGAGGATGACAGTACACCAGTGCAAGCTTAACCAAATAGTAGCCTCAATTGAAGCCATCATACCTGATCTGTTATCTTTGCTAAATCAGATTAATATGGTCTCAGGCACCTGGTATGTAGCCATTGATTTGACAAATGTGTCCTTTTCTATTCCAGTCAAGAATTCTCCTCAGATTAAAAAAAAAAAAAAAGTAACTATGTGTGGTGACGGATGTTAATTATTGCAACTTACTGTAGGGAGCTGATTACTCTGAAACAGTGTGGTTGTAGTTCATACAACCCCTTTCTATCTTTTCAAAGATAGAAAAGTAACTATCTTTGGTTAGGTTTTCCTGTGCCTTTAGCCTGGAGTATTAAATAAGAACAAAACAAACAAAAACAAGGACAATTAAGCCTATTGTTTAGATCATAAAGCCAACAACTATTAACTTTAAATAATTTCTGCCTTTTGAGAAGTGAACTGTTCCAACACGGGTTCATGGGGTTCATGGCTCTCGAGTTCTCCACTCCGGCTCCATCCTTTTAACATATGAAGCTTTTTAGGGTGTGTAGTTCTTAATGGTTTTTAGCTAAGTTTCCAGTGGTTACACTGTAGTATCTTCCATATTAATACCCAACATTTAGTTCTTACTCTGTGCCAGGACTCCTCTAACTTTACATGTATTAAACTTGTTCAATCTACAAAACCTTACAGGATAGGCAGTATTATTAAACCCATCTCTTAAATGTCTCTTCCTCTTTTTTTTCGATTTTATTTATTTATTCATGAGACACACAGAGAGAGAGACAGAGACATAGGCAGAGAAAGCAGCAGACTCCCCGCAATGAGCCCAATAAAGGACTCAATCCCAGGGCTGGGGATCACGACCTGAGCTGAAGGCAGCTGCTCAACCACTGAGCCATCCAGGTGTCCCAAACGTCTCCCTCTTTAACTATAAAAGAGTGCACCAGAAGAACCAAACAGGTGTCACCACTGGGTTGATCAGTTTATTTTAAATAATTACCTTTGGCTTTTGAAAGTTATTTTATTTCACTTCATTTCCTCACTTCTAAAGGCAAAGACCTGTCCATCTGGTTTATAAACTCTTACTATTCAGACAAAACTGTGTGTGTCATAACCAAGACTTCTTTTTTCTTCTATAGTTATTCTTCAAGGTTCAGAAGAGTGGTAAGTACAGCAGGTGACACTTCTAGGAGAAACAAGTATTGGTAGAAATATTTGTAAGTGGCAGTGTTGCACAGTATAGTTAGTATGATTTAAACTTAAGATGCTTAAAAGGTGGAAGAGGCACTGAAGAGGAAGCAGTCCATGCAGTTTGAAGGTTTCCGTAAAATTGTTTCTTTTGATGGTAACATTTTTCAGTCCCCCCATCCCTCCTTAACTGACCAATATTTGTTAAGCATTCTGAGTTTCTTTATTCTTTTAAGCATTCCGAGTTTCAAGGAAGAAACAACCAAACACAAAACAACAGTAAACTTACAGCCTGCCTTCCAGACATGAATATTCTGGATTCCAGAATGACTGATACTGGGTTTTGTTAATTAGGAAATGCTGATGTCCCAGAACCTCTTCCTCACTCCCCTTTATAAGACACTTTGCTTTCCTATGGTATATGACATTTTGATTCTTTAAATGGTTCATGGCTTGAGCATTATACGCTTCCCAATTTTGTTAACAAGAAGACAAGCTTATAGAGGGGCTTGAAAAATTTGCCTGGTCAAAAATAGAAAATCAGGCAGCCGGGTGGCTCAGCGGTTTAGAGCCGCCTTCAGCCCAGGGCCTGATCCTAGAGACCATGGATTGAGTCCCACGCCGGGCTCCCTGCATGGAGCCTGCTTCTCCCTCTGCCTGTGTCTCTGCCTCTCTCTCATAAATAAATAAATAAAATCTTAAAAAAAAAAAAAGGCAATCCCAGTTTTAGGTTTTAGGTAGGTTTGCTGTATGAATGGCATTAGCTAAACCTCAGTGAGCTCTTTGGAGTATCTGGAAGGGTAACTCCTAAGCTTTAAACCACGTTATCTGGCCTTAAAGGTCAAGACCAGTAAGGGCCCTACCACTAAACCAGTTTCCTACACTGGAGACCTCAAACTAGGAAAACTCCACAAAAAAAAAAAAAAAATCCTGGAACTCGGGCGCCTGGGTGGCTCAACGGTTGAGGGTCGGCCTTTGGCTCAGGGCGTGACCCCGGAGGGCGGGAATCAAGTCCCACATCCAGCTCCCCTTGAGGAGCCTGCTTCTCCCTCTGCCTGTGTCTCTGCTTCTGTGTCTCTCATGAATAGATCAATAAAAATCTATTTAAAAAAGAAAAATCCGGGATCCCTGGGTGGCGCAGCGGTTTAGCGCCTGCCTTTGGCCCAGGGCGCGATCCTGGAGACCCGGGATCGAATCCCACGTCGGGCTCCCGGTGCATGGAGCCTGCTTCTCCCTCTGCCTATGTCTCTGCCTCTCTCTCTCTCTCTCTGTGACTGTCATAAATAAATAAAAAAAAAAGAAGAAAAATCCTGGGGCTTATTTTGTCAAGACACTAAAAAGCTTATCACTTATCATGTGTTATCACTATAAAGCCATAAAATAACATTTTGCAAGGAAATGGATAAAGAAAAAAAATCAGAATAATGCATAATCCCTTCTCCAGAACCGTAGACACACATTTAAAAATGTTTTTTGAAGTTTTTTGCAACGTGCTAAAATGAAGGCGTCACACGTCACTCTACAACGCTCCATTTCAACAGTGGCGTCCGATCCGTTCCCGGCGTCACACCCCTAGGGGAGCTCAACACAGCCGCCCGCACCGTGTGTGTGACGTCAGTCTTTGGAGAAAATCCTTTCACGTGGGCTAAAGGAGGCAGCTCAATGCAATTTTACGGGGATAAAAATAGGCTGAGTGAACTAAGAGCCGAGGAGAAGCGCCAGCCTCCGAGCTTCAATCCGCTCACTACAGGGTCCCGCCAGGTGAGGCGGCCGTCCGGCCGGGGACGACGGCTCCGGGTCTCACCGCCTCAGGAGCTGAGCTGCGAGCGACGCCGCTAACCGATGAAAACTGCCCCAGGTCGGTGGCGTCCTGACACCACCAGGTTGGCGAGGGCCTCCGAAAACTGACGTCCAGGTAACCGCCACCTCCACCCTCTCCACAGGGAAGAGCGCCGGGGGACACACCTGGCAGTCGGAGAGAGCGGGCGCAAGATGGCGGCGCGTCACGTGAGCAACGCGGTGACGTAGGACGGCGGCCCGCACGGAGGGCCCGCCTTAACCTCACCCCCCACGCTCACTGACTCAGTAGTGCCCCCTCTCCTCCCCCGCCCCCGGCCTGGTGTAGATCATGCCGCCAGTGGCGGCCCTGACTGCCGAGGAAACGGTAGCCTAGGACAGTTGGCTGTTACGTGACACTGGTTCTCCCCGCGCCGCCTGACCCCTAAGACACAGGCACGTCCCCCGCCGCGTGAGGGGGTGGGGGAGTGGGCAGAGAACTCGGATCCACCTGGGAGGGGGGAGTGGAAGTTCCCGCCCCGGACAGCGACGAGGCGGCAGCCACAGGTAAGCAGGGGGCGGGGGTGGGACGTGTTCCCGCGTCCCGGGGCACGGGGAGGGCGCGGGGACCCGGCGCCGGTGGGGACGCCGAGCCAGGTCTCGCGCCCAGCGGGGGTCGCGCGCCCGCGGCGGCCGCGGTGGGGGAGGGGCGCGGAGGGCGCGCGGCGGAAGGGGGAGGGGCTGCCCGCGGTCCCCCGGCCGCGCGCCCTTCCGGTTCTCGCGCCTGGCGCGGCTGTTCCCCGTCGGTCGTCGGCCTCCGGTGCCTCCCCCCCCCTCCCCCGCACCGTCCCGCTCCCCACAACCAAAATAAGGCCGGAGACCTCCCGCCGGGGCTGGCTCTCGCCTCCGAAGCGGCCCCGGTGCGGCCCAGGGCGAGCGCCCTCCGCCGAAGGTCTCGGGGTCGGGCGGGGAGGGCGGCGTGGCCTTGGCCTCCGCGCCGTTTCCGCCCAGCTGCCCGAGGCCGGTTCTGTCCGCCGGGGAGCCCCGGTGTACGCGGCGTGCCTGGCCGGGCGGGCGGAGGGCCGGCGCCGCGCTGACCCGCAGGAGGCTTCCAGTCCGGCGGGGGGGGGGGGTGGCGAGGACGCCGGCGCCCGGCACCGCGAGGGGACGCTGTAGCTGGTGGGCGAGGAAGGACAGCGTGCGGCGGTGACGGCGGCCGCTCTGCTGGTGTCCGGACGGAGCCTCACCCGAGGAGACTGATTTTCTCGTGAATCGTGAATCTAAGCGTGGCACTTCCCGCCGCCGGCCACACGCCGGAGCGTGCGGCTTGATCGGCGTCAGATTTACCGTAGGTGTCACGCAGTGGCGATTTTGTTGGCCCCGGAGGAGCCGTGGGCCAGCGCGGGTCCCCTCGGCCATCAGAAAGGGCGTTCCTGTGAAACCTTTCCCTGGAAGAAGTGGCCCAAAGCGAAGATGCCATCACCGTTAATGCATACGGGGGGGGGGGGAGAAAGAAAAAAGGAAAAGTTCAGGGTTCTCAGACCCCGAAAAGACTTTCTCTCGGGCTTTTCTGATACCTCAGGACACCTCTCACTCACTGAACGGAGACCAAGCCGCGACGCCCGCGCGCGCACACGGTTCCAGGCTGTGGAGACTCGGAGCTGAGGGGCCGAGCGTAGTTGTGGGGGACGGAGCGTGGCAGCCCCTGTAACGGCTGGCTGCGAGACCGACCAACGCCGAATGCTGTGGTGACTGTTTGTTTGTTTGTTTGTTTGTTTTTCCTGAAAGTGAAAATCTCAGATCTCTTTCGGTTAGTGAAATCAGGTACCGGTGTAGGTTTTTAGTTACAAAGTGACGTGGTGTAACACGAATTTTCGAGAAGTGTGGGGGGGGATACCTGTGATCCCCGTGGGGCGTGCCCTTCTGAGGCTCTTTGAGCGTAGATTTGACACGCATCTTTGTCAGACAGGCCTGGGTCTGTGGTGAGAGTTTGTACACTGTGTTTGGTTATGTTTGCAGAATGCGTTTTGTCTTGAGACTTTTGTTATCAACGGAAATAACAGAAAAAAAATGTTATTTTTCCTTGTAGGTTTTGTGATGCACCTCGGGGTCCCAGTTGGAATCAGTACAGTGGTCCTAACGCTCAATAGGTTCTCTTATTTGTAGTTATCCTTTAAGGTTATGTTTGGTCTGTGGTACATCTGTACGCTGCTGCTGTATCACCAGTAGGTGGTAGTCCCGTCTAAAAATGCCTTTTCTTCGCTTGTTATCCTACTTAATGAACTTCTAACTGGAAAGTAGGATTCTTTTGGTGCCTGAACTCTCCTGATTCTAAAGCCAAGTTGAAGCAATTGTCTAAATATATTTTTTTGACCATTATTTTTACCTGTAGCTAGACAAAGCCAACTATAAACGCATTGATTTATTCAACGTTAATAAGTGTGCAAGGTATTAGTGCTATTTTGGGAACAGGATATGGTCTTTGGCTCCCTAGAGCTTGCATTCTGGTGGCAAGACAGAAAACAGGCCATTACAATCCTGGGATAAGTGCCATGAGAAGAGGGGGCGACATGTGCCGTGGAGATACCGCCAGAGCCTCTCGACTAGTCTGCGGGAGTTGGGAAAGATTGCCTGGAAGAATAAATAACTCAAAGGCATAGGCCACCCGAAGAGAAGGGGAATACTGTTTGTGGCAGAGGGAATGGCGTATGTGAAAACCTGAAGGTAAGGGAAAGCAAGGCAGGCACAGGTGAAGATCTGATGGAAATTCAGTATGACGAATAGGAAGCTTTGAGAGGAGGTAGTTCACTTGTGGAAACGTCGAGCAAGAGGCTCCTTACCCTCAAGCTTATCGTAGTTCAGTATTCTTGATAGGTGAGGAAACTAAGACCTTCATTCATCAAATGAGGATACCGTTTTTGTTGACGTTGATTGTTTACTGCATACATGAGGTTCTCTGTTGGGCACAGAGCATACATTCACATGATACAGGCCCTATCCTTAGACACCTTAAGACTGGGGGAAACAACAACAAAGACTGGGGGAAACAGACATGCCAGTAAACAGTCCAGAGTGTTAGGTGACCTCATTAGAAATATGTTCAGGGCACAAAGTAGGAAGGACCTGGAGCCGTTGGGAACTTAATGTTTGGGATGAACCTTGAAAAGAATAGGAGTTTGCCAGATGGATAAGTTGGCAATGTTAGAGGAAGAGGGAAGCATGGAATAAAAAAAAACCTGGATTTGGGGTTAAAATAGTTCTGGCTTCAGGTCTTGTATTCATATCTTACTGCGAGATCCATAGTTAAGTGACAATTTCCTTGAGCCTCAATTTATACATCTCTCAATTAGGGAGTCCAGAAAATGATATATAAAAAAGCTCTTTAGTGCTTAGAATACAGTATTCCTTTCTGTGCAAGTTTTTAAGAAGTACCATGTCTTTTACTTACATTCTTTATATGTCAACAAGATACAGCCTACTGCAGTTTCTCAGCCTCCCAAATTGGTTCCCCTTGATGGCACTTTTGAAGCTGTATTTGACTGTCCCTGTGACTCTGCCCTACTTAGGTTGTCTAATGTTAAGCTTCCATCTGCTGCCAGGAGCTACATTATTTTCATAGAAAATGCCTTTCTACACGTACAGTTTATTCTGCGTTGAGCCATTTTTTAACAGATTGTTAATCTTAACCTCAATTCTAGGAGTAATAGCTGAAAAAAGTGAGCCATGAAGATTATACTCAAAGATTAAAAAATTTAGAGTATTGTTTATGATGAATGTAACCATAAAGCTGTTTTCGTTTTTGGGGGAAAAAGCTGGTTTGTTGACTTCTCTTTAAAAAATTATAGAAAATAGGCTATCTTATTTTCCATAGGAAATGCGGTTGTAATAATTGTCCAAAATCTTATATGCTGACTGCAGTGGCTTTTACTAGGAAATGTGTATTGTTTTGTTGATTGTGTTAGTTTCCATTAGATATAGGATTTCTTAATGATATCGTTATGGAGGAAAAATCAGTGAGTCACAGTGAAACAAAAGTATCATTTCCAGTAATTTAATGAGGTTTTAAAAAACCTTTTATAGTTTCTTTCAGTGTTTTAGTACTATATTTTTTCTTCTTTTCTACATTATAACATATCTTCTGAAATGGAGTGTTAAAAAGGCATTTTTAGCCACCCAGCTGTCTCAGTTGATAGAATGTATGACTCCTGGTTTTGGGGTTGTAAATTCGAGCTCCATGTTGGGTATAGAGATTACTTAAAAATGAAATCTTTTTTAAAAGGCACTTTCAGTACAGACAGTATGTAGAAAATACAGAATTCTGAGTTTGGTGCTGTCTGTATGTTTAGTCTATGGGATTACATGTGTATTAGTGGAGATTAAAAATCACTGGGCTCTTCCTAAAGAAGGGACTATATGTAAGCTTACAAGCAGTTTGAAGAAACAACATAGGAAGCATTAGGTAAATTTGTTGAAATTAAAAGTTTTAAAATAACCATAGTTAAGTCATTGGAAAGAGATTTACATCCACGTGATGGAAATGAAATTTATATTAAGAAATTTTATAGACTGGGACACCTGGGTGGCTCAGTTCATCAAGCGTCTGACTGATCTTGACCTGATTTTGGCTCAGGTCGAGAGCAAGCCCCCACATCGGGTTCTGCACTCAAAGGGGAGTCTGCTTAAAGATTCTTTCTCACCCTCTCTCTCTGCCCTTCCCCCTACTCACACACTTTGTCACTCTCTCTAAATAAAATCTTTAAAAAAAAAATTTTTTTTTTTAAAGATTTATTTACTCATGACAGACACAGACTGGGAAAGAGAGGCAGAGAGAGAAGCAGGCTCCATGCAGGGAGCCCGATGTGGGACTCCATCCTAGGGCTCCGGGATCATATGCTGAGCCGAAGGCATATGCTCAACCACTGAGCCACCGAGGCAGCCCTTCTTTTTTAAGATTTTATTTGAGAGAGAGGAGCAGGCTCCCCGCTGAGTAGGGAGCCCAGTGCAGAGCTCAGTCCCAGGACTCTAAGATCTTGACCTGAGCCAAAGGCAGATGCTTAACTGACTGAGCCACCCAAGCACTCCTACAACATTTTTTTTTTTTTAAGATTTTACTTATTTGAGAGAGAGCACTAGTGGGGAGAGGGGCCAAGGGAGAGGAAAAGGGACAAGAAGACTCCCTGCTGAGTGCAGAGCTCAGTGTGAGGCTAGATCCCAGGACCCTGAAATCATGACCTGAGCCAAAGTCAGACGTTTATTTTTTTTTTTAAACTGTTTTTTTTTTTTTTAATTTTTATTTATTTATGATAGTCACACACACACAGAGAGAGAGAGAGGCAGAGACACAGGCAGAGGGAGAAGCAGGCTCCATGCACCGGGAGCCCGACGTGGGATTCGATCCGGCTCTCCAGGATCGCGCCCTGGGCCAAAGGCAGGCGCCAAACTGCTGCGCCACCCAGGGATCCCAAAGTCAGACGTTTAACAGCCACCCAGGCGTCCTCATTTACAACCTTTCACAAGCTGTGAAAGAGAACTTCAGTCAGTTAAGCGTCTGCCTTCAGCTTGGGTCATGATCCCAGGGTCCTGGGTTGGAGCCTCACATCAGGCTCTCCATCCACTGAGTCTGCTTCTCTCTCTCCCCCTCTGTCCTCTACCCTGCTTGTATTCTCTTTTGCGTTCACACTCTCTCTCAAAATCTTTTTTTTTTTTTTTTAATTTATGATAGTCACACACAGAGATAGAGAGAGGCAAGGCAGAGACACAGGCAGAGGGAGAAGCAGGCTCCATGCACCGGGAGCCCGACGTGGGACTCGATCCCGGGTCTTCAGGATCGCGCCCTGGACCAAAGGCAGGCGCTAAACCGCTGCGCCACCCAGGGTTCCCTCAAAATCTTTTTTAAAAAGGCTAATGACATAGTTAGAGGGAAAAAAAATTAAAAGCACTCTGTTTCAGGCAGTAACACCTTTTCTCAGTGGCTAAGAACAATCGCTTTAATCTAGATGTTAAAAATGCATTTCTGTTTTCTGATCTCCAAAAAAAAAAGGAGGGGGGGAAATATGTTGACTTAAACTTCACGGTTAAGTCAGTGATGGTAAGTAAAGGGCAAGTACCTAGTTGCCCTCCCACCTCTAAAAATTCTTGCAATTGTAATACCATACACATAACATAAAATGTTATATCTTAACCATTTCTAAGTATACAATTCAGTAGTGCTAAATGTATGAGATTGTTGAAGAGCCAATCTACAATACTTTTTTATACCCATTAAACAAACAACTCCCTATTCCCCCCCCCTCCTTTCAGCTCCTAGCAACCATTCTACTTCCTGTTTCTATGGGTTTAACTATTCTAGGTACTTACGTAAGTGAAATCATACAGTATTTGTCTTTTTTTTTTTTTTAAGAATTTATTTATTTGTTCATTAGAGACACAGAGGCAGAGACATAGGCAGAGGGAGAAGCAGGTTTCATGGAGGGAGCCTGATGCAGAACTTGATCCTGGGACTCCCGGGATCACGCCCTGAGCCGAAGGCAGACGCTCAACTGCTGAGCCACCCAGGTGTCCCCAGTATTTGTCTTATTGTGGCTGGCTTACTTCATTTGGCATAATGTTCTCAGAGTTCAATCATGTAACATATGTCACAATTTTCTTTTTAAGGTTGAATAATATGCCATTGTGTGTATATACCACATTTTGTTTATCCATTCATCTCTATGCACACTTGCGTTGATACCACCTTTTGGCTATTACAAATAATGTTGCTGTGCACATGGGTGTGTAAATATATCTTTAAGATCCCGCTCTCAGTTTCTTTGAATAAATACCTAGATGTGGGATTTCAGGATCATATGGTAATTCTTTCTATCTTTAATTTTTTGAGTAGCTACCTACTGTTTCCCATAGTGGCTACATCATTTTTGCATCCCCAACTATAGTACTCAGATGTTCCAATTTTCCACATCTTCAGCAACACTCATTTTCTGTTATTTTTTTTTTAAATATTAGCCATCCTAATGGGTGTTGAGATGATCTCTCTCATTGTAATTGAGATTTGCATTCCTTAATGATTAGATATTGAGCATCTTTTCATGCTTGCTGCCCAGTCCCCTTTTTTCTTTTTATGTCTTTGTATGTAATCATAAAAACCTTAAATTCTACCCAAGTCTTTTAGCATTCTTTTTTTTTTTTTTTAAATATTTTTTTTTAAGTTTATTTATTTATGATAGGCACACAGTGAGAGAGAGAGAGAGAGGCAGAGACACAGGCAGAGGGAGAAGCAGGCTCCATGCACCGAGAGCCCGACGTGGGACTCGATCCCGGGTCTCCAGGATCGCGCCCTGGGCCAAAGGCAGGCGCTAAACCGCTGCGCCACCCAGGGATCCCTAGCATTCTTTTTCTAAGTGGTTGTCCTACTTGACATTCCATCTCTCATAAGTCATTTATTTTTACCCAGTCTAGATATCGTACAGTTGATATCTAGATCATCTAGTTGTTTAGAACCTCTTTAGGTATAATTGTACTTAGTTCAGCTTTTACTCAATGACTTCTCTATGTAGAACTGTATGTGTTATTAGAAACCTGCCTAGACTAGAGAAGAATGTTTGTGTCCATGGATGGGAAGACTATCATACTTTTGAGTGAGATAACATTTGAAAATTTAGTCATAACTTTATATATATACATACATACACCATTTATTAAATTTTAACATGTTCATGCAGATTAGAATTTTTATTTTTATTTTATTTTTTTTAAAGATTTTATTTATTCATTCATTCATGAGAGAGAGAGAGAGAGAGAGAGAGAGAGAGAGGGGCAGAGACACAGGCAGAGGGAAAAGCAGGCTGCATGCAGGGAGCCAGACGTGGGACTTGATCCCCGGTCTCCAGGATCACACCCTGGGCTGAAGGTGGCGCTAAACCGCTGAGCCACCAGGGCTGCCTAATCAGAATTTTTAAAATGTAAAAGAATATGCAAGGAAAAGTCCTTACTACCTATGTTCCATAGTTACCAATTCTCTTCCACAGAGGCAACCAAATTGCTAATTTTTATACAACTATGCAGTAAATTATACATATTTTGTAGTGCTTTTTATTTGCCATTTCTTGAGATCTTTACAATTAGATCTCTACACAGAACAACATCAGAACATACTGAGTTTGGATAAATTGAGCTCAGCCTGTAGCAGAGAAAAACTTTGTCTTGTTCCTCTGAAAAAGTACATGTGTTAAGAAAAATATCTTAGGATTTCTCGAAAATGAAGTTAGAAAGCATCTTTTAACTGACTTTTTTTCCCTTATAGTTGATTATGGAAGATTCCCACAAGAGTAACACTTCAGAGGCAGCACCGCAACCTGGTTCAACAGTTCAGGGAGCTCATATTTCTCATATTGCTCAACAGGTAAGGCAGGAACCAGCCAAAATATTGAGCTAATTAGGAATATTTTGTGAAAAGGAATCAAGCAAAAAGAACTGTGTATGTATGAAAGGAAGATAGATTTGATTTAAGCATCCTGTTGCAATCATTCAGTTTTCTTTTATAAAAAGTATATTTAATATTATTTTAATATTAAATACTTTTAAAAACTTGTGGATTTCATTTTATATGGTAAATGATTTAGACTTTTTTCAGACTGATTTTGTTGCTGCATAAGAAAAATGAAAAATTGTCTCTCTGAGCTAATTTGAAACAAATAGTTTCAAGAGGCAAACCATCTTAAGAGTGGGGGTAAAAAAAAAAGAGAAAGGGCAAACCATCTTTAGTTCAGTAGATTTATTGTGGATATATAGGAAATCTTTTTGCTGAACTGGAAACTAGGCCTGTATGTTAGAGAATTTAAATTGATGGGCATGTATATTATAGAACTGATATTTTATAAATTTCAAATGGTCTGATCCATGTACCTGACCCACTTCAAGGAAAACAGCTGACGGTATTTGTTACCAGTGATAAGACTTGAACTTTCAAACAAAAACTAGAATTTGGAAAACTTGTATTCACCATTATTAGCCTGACAGTTTCCCAGGAGTTACAGACTTTTTAGTTACAAAATTGTGCTACAAAATCTTACTTGGGTATAAGATTCATTCAGAGTGCAAGGTAGACCAAAGCATTTTAACGTTGACAGAATATATAATAACATTAAGATTGTACATTAAACCAATCTTTAAGAGACTACAGCTTGTTTAAGTTTTGATATGGTATCAAAGAATATCCACAATGATCTGAAAAGACTATTAAAAAAAGCCCTCCCTTTTCCGACTACATATGAGACCAGACTTTCTTCATATATCTCAGCCAAAACAACATATGGCAACATATTTAAGGTAAAAGCAGGTAAAAGAATTCCGCCATTTTTTATTAACTCAGACATTAAAGTAATTTGCAGAAATGTAGAACAATGTCTTTCTTTCACTAACTTGGGGGAGGGGAAGTTTAGTTATATAATTGAAAACTTGATTTATATTAATGTGTAATAGATCTACATTACATCAAAATGAACTGTTAAATATTTTTAAAATTTCTTTTAATTTTGAATGTGCTAGTAGATTAAAAGTCAACATAAATAAAAATTCTTTGGGGTCCTCGATAATTTATATACGTGTAAAAGGATCTTGAAACCAAAAAATTTGAGAAACAGGGCCTTAAAGGAATTAATCCTTCAAGCTTGACACATACTTCTTTATTATTTGGCTATATCTGTGTAGAATGATGGTGTCTTCTCCATATGGTGCTGGAAAAACAATCATGGAGTCTTTCCGCTCTCTTTCTGTTAATAGAGCCCTCCACAGAAATGTTTAAATTCACTTGGCTTATGTGTGTAGTTCTGTTATTTTGGTTAGATGTGAATGTTTCCAAAGTTTCCTTAGAAGCATGTTTACAGTGAGATGTAGAATAAGTACATTTCTAAGTGGTAAGTAATTTTGTAGTGATTTAGAAAAATAATGTCACTGACTTTATGTCCAAATTCTTGTGGCTTGATTACTTTATTAGACTCTAAATATTATAAGGAAATAGTATTTAATACAGTAATATTTATTCAGTCATTCAGTATAAGCTAGGGACATAGCAGTAAACAGAAGTCTCAGCTCTTAGGAAATTTACTTCTAATTTTGAGGAGACAAGAAATAAACATCAGTTCATAGTATGTTCTGTGGGGACTAATAAAACAGTAAGAGGGTTGGGGAATTGGTGAGGACAGGTGGAGTTGCCTTTTTATATAAAGTGGGCAGAGAAGTCCCATTAGTGGAAGGAACTCTTCATTTACATGAATTAACAGTTGTAAGACACTGAGACTATGTATGCTTGGCATGATTAAGGAACAGCACAGGGGCTGGTGTGATGGGAGACAGAATGAGGGGAGAATTATAGAAGACGAGACAGAGGGGATCCCTGGGTGGCGCAGCGGTTTAGCGCCTGCCTTTGGCCCAGGGCGCGATCCTGGAGACCCGGGATCGAATCCTACGTCAGGCTCCCGGTGCATGGAGCCTGCTTCTCCGTCTGCCTGTGTCTCTGCCTCTCTCTCTTTGTGTGTGTGACTATCATAAATAAATAAAAAAAATAAAAATAAAAACTTAAAAAAAATTAAAAAAAAGAAGATGAGACAGAGAGGTTTTGGGTGGGAAGGAGAGTGCCAGATAAGGTAGGCCTTTTATGTCACTGTAGGGCTTTTGGCTTTTAATCTGGGTGAGATGGGAATCCTTTGGAGTGTTTTGAGTAAAAATCTTATCTGATATTTTAATAGGATCATTTTGTTTGCTTTGTGGAGTAGAAGCAGGAAAACCAGTTAGGGTGTTGTTACAGTGATGTGCATGATAGGTGATATTGGCTTGGACCAAGGTGGTAGCAGTGCTGGTGGTGAGATAAAGTTAGATTCTGGATATAATTTGCTTGTAGAGTCAACAGTGTTTACTTTAGAAATAGATGTGGGTTTTAGAGAAAAAAATAAGTTAAGATAGACGCTACAGTTTTTGGCTTGACTGTAGGAATAGAGTTGCCACATACTAATAAGATGGACAATACTTGAATATGTTTTTCTTTTGGGGGGAGTATTTGCAATCAGGAATTTGGCTTTTAGGCACGTTAAGTTGGTGATGCTCTCTGTATTAGTTTTCGGTGCTACAAAACAAATTACCACAAATTTAATGGCTCATGACAACACATGTTACCACAGTGTCTGTGAGAGCAGAAACTTTGCTAGGTTCTCTGCTTTGATATTTCAAGCTGCAACCAAGGTATTGGCTCGGACTGGGTTCTTATCTCTGGATTAGACTGGAGAAGAATCCACTTCCAACTTCACTCAGATTGTTGGCAGAATTCATTTTGTTGCAGCTGCGGGACTGAGAGCTTCAGTGTTTTTGTTGGCTGGAGGCCACCCTCAGATCTTAGAGGTCATCTCCAATCCATTGCCATGTGTCCCTCCCCATAAGCAGTTCACAGCATCGCAGCCTGCTCTGTTAAGTCCAGCAAGAGGGTGAGAGTGAGCTAGCAAGACACTCTTTTTTTGTTTTTTAAAAGATTTTATTTATTTATTCATGAGAGATAGAGAGAGGCGCAGAGACCTAGACAGAGAGAAGCAGACTTCTCTCGCAGGGAGCCTGATGCTGGACTTGATCCCCAGAGCTGGGATCATGCCCTGAGCCAAAGACAGATGCTTAACTGCTGAGCCACTGGGGATCCACCTAGGCATCCCTACCAAAATAGTCTTATATAATACCATATAACATAATCAAGGGAATTATATCCCATTTCTTTGCTGTAAAATGCAACATAATCATGGGAATGACATCACTACTCAAGGATTCTGTATTTGCAGATTTGCCTACTTGATAAAATTTATGTATAATCCCAAAATCCAGCACTTCGGTGATCATTCGTGGACATGCCCAGGGTGTTAAAAAATTGGTGTCACTTGATCCACACCTCTCTAGGTGACATTGAACAAGGCACCAGGTCATCTTATTTTAGCTCCCAAACTGTAAATAGTTCCTTTTGTGTGGTCTAATTAGTGGCATATTTTTTGCATTTTTGTTTGGTGATTTTGCTGTTTAAAATGGCCTCCCAGGTATAGTGTTGAGTGCCAGGAGGAGAAAATACATGTGTTAGGGAAGTTTTGTTCAAATATGTGTTGTAGTGCTGCTGTCCATGAGTTCAGTATTAATGAATTAACAATATATATATACTTAAAAAAGGTGTATTTAAACAGAAACACTAAAAACAAGGTTATATATTGACCAGTTGATGAAAATAATGTGCCTAAAGGCTTGCAGGAACCCAACTCCATAGTCCCCCCCCCCCCCAGAGCAGTAGTTTAGTATTTGCTAATTACATGTACATGCAACTTTATAGAGTATCACTACCACAAATAACAATAATTGACTATTTAGCAACATGGAGTTTACTGACAGCCTTGACAAGAACTATTTTAGTGGGAGTAGAAATAAAAATCTAATTAGGCCCAAGAGAGCATGGAAAAAGGGTGGGGGAGGGTAGACACTCATTGACAACAAAATGAATGGACAACTCCTTTGAGGAGTTTGGTTGCCAAGGAAGCTAAGGAATGAAGTTGCGGGGGAGAGAGTTGTAGGTCATTGAAGCTTTACTTTTTTTTTTTTTAAAGATTTTATTTATTCATGAGAGACACACACAGAGAGAGAGAGAGAGAGAGAGAGAGAGAGAGAGGGGCAGAGACACAGGCAGAGGGAGAAGTAGGCTTCCCACAGGGAGCCCAACTTGGGACTCAATCCCAGGTCTCCAGGATCACACCCTGGGCCGAAGGCAGTGCTGAACTGCTGAGCCACCCGGCCTGCCCTGAAGCTTTAACAGCCTGTTGGTATACCAGTGGGATAGATGCAGTAGAAAGGGGAAAAATTGATGATAGAGGAAAGGAGAGGGACATTCTGGAATGATGTCCTTGAGGAGAGGAGGGAACAAGATTTAATTTGTAAATGGAAAAATATATTTTACGTGAACAGAGGTACATCATTCACAGATAGTAAATACAGGTTAGGTGGGAAGATTGGAGAGGAGACACTCCGAAAGTTTTCTCTCAAAAATTTCTTTGTTTTTCAGTGAAATAAAATGCTTTGAGAAGATAAGGAGGAAGGAGAAAGTATGAAATAGTCTCCCAGGATAGTAGGAAATGTAAGTGGACTAGGGATATGTGTAACAGGATTGCTGGAGATCATGAACAGTCCACTTGAGGTTTGATCATGAGTTTAAAGTGAGACTGTTAAGTTCAGTTATGTGTTTTTCTCCAGTCTGATTCAAGTATAGTTTGCATCCAGGTTACAAGCATAGAGAAGGGGAGTTAACAGGATTGATTTTTAGTTAAGGGACTATAATGAGCTAGAAAAAGTACGGACATTGATGGTGTGTGTAATAATAGTGATTATGATGCT